TATGATCCCTGACGATAACACTGATCTGATCGAGTTTTTAAGAGCTGTATCCATGTACCCTTGGGGATACAGTCACCAAGTTTGAACTGAACAATATCCAGGTGATCTTCAGCTTGTTTGATGTCGCCGGGTGGAATGGTTTTCTGTTGAATGCGTGCGGTAGTTGAACAACAATCAAGCAGAATTGATGCAAGCTTGATGTGAGCGTATCTTTCCCTTTTAATTCGAACTCTTAATCGATGGTCTTTTTGACTGAAGAAGAGAGCTTTCTCAAAAGAGCATCTCGCGTTATTCCGCATGGCGTTACGGGCACGAGCATTTCTCGTGTCATCCGGTATCAGGCTCATGTAATCTAACCATAAACAACCATAGGTGTAGTAGAGGTCAGCCCAGTCTTCTGGAGAGTCGTACTGCTGCAAGAGATGTTTGCTGCGTCGAAGATATTCAAACAGCAGAGTTAATTTTAACTTTCTGTGCTTTTCTTCTCTCCTCATGTGAGCCGCAAGTACATAGAAGGCTCTTGCCGATATGACATCTCCGTATAAAGCTTGACCATTCAGGTCAGATTCCGTGACTGAAATAAGCATTTTCTTCGCTAATTTGGATTTTTTTTCGTACGAGAGGGCCACTGCTTGTTCTATCTTTAAGACTAGAACCATGTCAGCATTTTTTCTATCTTCATAGTAGTGAATTTTCTCCATTGCAAGGCGCTTGTGTTGGACAAACATTCCGTTATCTTGACAAAGCTCGAGCGCTTTTAGGAGTTGCTCGCCCTCGCGATGCTTTCCGCTAAAATCGCCTTTTACCTTGATTGAGGCCATCGGTAGTTCGACACGGGCACAACTCGTTCCACTCGAGTCTGAGTGTTCTATTTCTTTTGTTTCGCTTAACGGCGCAAGTTGGCAGTCCACGACTCCTCTTGCTGTCTGGTATTGGTTCAGGGTACAATATTCTTCCTTTTGACCGTCGTCAGGTTGAACTTCGCCTTTGCTGAAAAGCTGTCGTCGGCATTCGACTTTTTCTATCACTCTCTTTTGTCGTTCATTTCGATCATTCGAGTCGGCTTCTTTTGGACCATATTCGCTCTGAAGCCTATCTTTTTCGCAGTCTCGATTTCTGCTTAATTGCTCTGTGTTTGGATGGCCCACTATAACGACGCCACAGTTTGCGAGTGATACGTTCAAGGTGTTTGCGACCGTCTCAAATTTTGCTCGAGCAATAATCGGTGCATTAGGAGGAAACTTTGATGACAAGCCTTTCCCATCGTAAGATGTCTGTCCATGGTGTGTGCTTCCTTTAGAGAGATCTTCAGCGAGGGTAGATGCCATTCGTCCTTGTTTCGTGCGTCGTCGACGATGTTATTTTGATGGTTCTGTCTCTCAGATTTCACGCTTATGCTCTTGTTTTGGCTGCTTCTCTCGGGTATGATTTGGATAAAGCTCTAGAGAATCTTTAAGGTTGTCCTTATTCGAGCGCGGGCGAAAGGATCTAGGAGTTGTAGCCGACAAATGAATTTATCATCGATGAAATCCTACGAAAAAAAGCTTCAGAATTATAATATCCGTGCCTTTTATTTGCTATTTGAGCCTTTTAAACAATATTTATCTTGTATCCGAAAGGGGAAGACCCTTTACATATAGGGGCTTTAAATTTCCGTCTAAAAGCCGTCACATGATTCGTTAGAGATGACATCATTTCGATGCCGGGGATGTTCTTAAATATCGGGAAAAACAATAAGATGAAAAGGGGAGGAATTCAATCCTCTTTCTTGATCTTGAAATAAATTGCGTGACAGATTCAAGCCAAGTTGCCTTCTGTTATCAATTTGCAGTACTGTTCCGTCAACGCTCCATCATTACCATTTACAATTACAGTTTCATCTGCTGTAAATTAAGTTAAACCCTTAAACTAGTTGCGAATGAAGGCTAGCTTACAAATCAACAATGTTCTACAGATGAAATTTGCAGATTTCAATTTATAATTTTTTATGTCTATTGTGAGTGACTTTCACTGTTATTGTAGCCGGTGTCGCTGCTGACATGATCATGTCCTTCGATAACAATCTGGTCGGGTGTTTGGAGTTTGTTGTTAAGGAAGTTGATTCTTTCACGGAGGGTTTCCAATTCTGTGTTGAATTGGTGGAGGCATGCAAGCTGATAGGCATCCTCGGCTCTTTCTTTAGCCAGATGGAATCGTCCTTGACGATTAAGTTGATCCGATTGGGTTTTAAAGAGTAGCATCAACGTTGCCCTGGGTATACTGCCACCGAGTTTGAACTGGATGATTTCAAGGTGCTCTTCGGCTTCTTCAATGTCACTTGGTGGAATTGGTTTTTCTTGAGCCAGTGCGAAGGTTGAACAGCTATCCAGGAGTATTGTGGCAAGCTTGAGGTGGGCATACATTTGCCTTTTAATCCTAACTCGCGGGCGATAATCTTGTTGACTGAAATAGATAGCTTTCGTAAAATAGTATTTTGATTTTTCTCGAGCGGCGTTTCGTGCACGTGCATTTCTCCTGGCATTCGGTATTTGGCTCATACGATCCAGCCAAAGAGCGCCATAGGTCTGGTAGAGCTCAGATAAGTCCTCTGGTGAGTCATAATTTTGCAGTAGATATTCGCTGCGTCGAAGAAATTCCAAGAGCAGGGGAAATTTTGAGTTTCTGTACCTTTCATTTCTCCTCATGTGAGCCGCAAGTAAGTAGTAGGCTCTTGCCGTTATAATGTCTGAATATGAAGCTCGACTCTTTAGGTCAGAATTTGCGACTGAAATAAGCTTTTTCCTGGCTAGCTTCCATTGACCTTTGTAAGAGAGAGGAGCTGCCCGCTCTATCTCCAAGACCAACAACATGTCCGCATTTTTTTCTCCTTCATAAAAATGCATTGCCCTTGTGACGAGGCTGTCGTGTTCATCGAAGTGTCCGTTATCTTGATAAACCTCGAGCTTTTCCAAGAGTCGCTCGCACATGCCATGCTTTCCACTGAGATCTCCTTCTACCTTGATTGGGGCCATCGGTAATTCAACACTTGTAATAATTATTTCACCTGAATCAGCGTGTTTACTATTTTGTGTTGCACTCAAAGGCTGAACTTGGTAGTCTACCACTCCTTTTGCTGTCTGGTTGAGGATGCAATTTGCTCCCTTTGGACCGCTGTCTGATCTAACCTCGCCTTTGCCGAAAACCTGTTGTTGACATTCGACTTTTTCTGTCACTCTCTTTCGTTGCTCAATACAATCGTCAGAGTCGGGTTCTTTTCGACTATTTTCGCACTGAAGCCTGTTTTGGTCACAGCAATGATTACGTCTTACTCGTTCTTTGTTTGACTGGCTAACTGAAATCATGCTGCAGTTTGCGACTGTTACGTTCAGAGTATTTTGTGTTAATTTTGCATGAGCGGTAATCGAGGCTTCGGGAAGAAACTTTGATGACAAGTCTTTCCCTTCGTGGGATGATGGCTGTCCATGGTTTGTGAGTTCTTTAGAGCGATCTTTAGCGGTGTTAGATGAAGATGCCATTTCTGTTTTGATTCGTGGTTAGTTGTCGATGTAAAATGTCCGAAATGCTTCTTGGATTTCGTAGCAATTTCCTTCGGGTGTAATTCAACTAGGGCTTGCGAGTTCCTATTTCAAAATTCTTAAAGACTGTTTTGATGTATTCGAAGGAGAGGGTTTCTTGGAATTGTAGTTGAAAAAGCAACTTCCATCAAAGAGATCATTTACATGAAAAGCTCTAAGTCTCATAAATGCAATTTACAAAACAATAGGTTTATTGAAATCAAAAGGGAAATTCCCTTTTTATCAATATTGTGGCTTAATATTTGCATCTGTTTCAGTATTTTTATCCACTCAATGAAACCCACAGGTTCTTGTAGATTTACCTGTAAAGACAGTTTTCGTCGAGATAATCCCAAGAATAATTTTGAATAGAGCCATGTTTCCTTTGTTATTTAAGTATAACATCGCTCCACGTTTTTTTTTTTTAATTTAGAAAGACGAATGACATATTTATGTATGATACCGTCAGTCTGATGTCTGCTTATAAATTCTAACCAATGGGTTTCCATTCCTGTAAGGGGGAAGTCCCTTGATATCTTATCTATGGTCACGCATTTCGTCAGATGTCAACGATGGAGCTCGACTGTTAGCGACTGCTGGCGATTGCCAACATAGACTCACAGATAGTGGCTAAATATTTCCATCCCCCAAGTTCGTTTTCCGGCAAAAATTCGTCTCGTGAGTCATCAGGCATCATATCATTATATTATTTGTACTTTCCTCTGCTGTAGAACGAGATTAATCAACTGCTTAACAATGAAAGCAGAACTACCTTACCAGTTGACAGTTTATGTTTTTGTGTTAGGAAATCAACTAGCGTGATGTTGATTTTAATCGGATAATATTTATTCACTACAACAGGTTTCGCTACTTGATTGCTCGAGTTCTTTAGAAACAACTAGCTTAAATTTTTCAACATTATCGTCAAGAAACGTTATACGTCTTCGTAGAGGGTCCAATTCTGTGTTAAATTTATTGGAGGACGCGAGATGAAGAGCCTGCTCAGCTGTCTCCTTCGCAAGTTGCAGAAATCCTTGGCGATAAAATTGATCCGATCGAATTTTCAAGAGCTGTATCCTTGTACCTGCGGGGACACTGTCACCAAGGTCATGCTGAATGAAATTGAGGTGTTCTTCAGCTTCTTTTATGTCACTTAGGGGAATAGCTTTCGCTTGGGTTCGCACGGCAGTTGAAACGCAATCTAGGAGTAATGTTGCAAGATTGAGACGAATGTACCTTTGCCTTTTAACCCGAACCCTTAGTCGATGATCTTTTTGGCTATACGAGATAGCTTGCTCAAAATAGTATCTCGCGTTTTCTTTGGCGGTCGTTCGTGCCGGCGCATTCCTCTGGTCATCCGGTATAAGGCTCATGCGATCTAGCCAAAGGCGACCGTATTTTTGGTAGAGTTCGGCCCAATCTTCCGGCGAGTCGTAGTTTTGCAACAACAACTCGCTGCGTTTAAGGTATTCAAAGAGCCGAGGTAACTTCACAGGCTTTCTTTTCCGTATGTCAGCCACAAGTAAAAAGTAGGCTCTTGCCATCAGAATATTCGAATTAAGTACATGACACGTTCTTTCTTTGTTTGATTGTATGACTGAGGTAAACATACTCTTGCTCTTTTTAGACTCTTTCTGATAAGAAAAGGCCACTCCTCGCTCTATTTTTAAGGCCAACTCCATGTCAGGTTCATTTCCATTGGCACAAAGTTGAAGCAACGATAGGACTAAATGCTCGTGTTTGATAAAATGTCCATTGTCTTGCAAAATCTCAAGTTTTTCCAGGATTCTCTCGCATCGTGGTCCTTTTAGGTACCCTTGTTTCTTGATTAAGGGCATCGGTTTTTCAACACTGGAGGAAACAATTCCACCTGAGTCTTCCTTTCGGCAATGGGCTTGTGCTTCTTTAGAAAGCCTTTCTTGGCCACAGCAATGATCATTTTTTCCTTGTTCTATGCTTGACTGACCGACCAGTACGACGCTGAAGTTTGAGACCATTAACGTCAAAGATTTGGTGTGAGCTTTAGATCTTGCCTCAGAGACAGTCGAGACTGAATTATTGGAAGGAAACCTAGATAACGAGCCTTTCATGTCGGTGCAAGTTACCTGTCCATTGTCTGTGCGCTCTTTTGCAATTTGTTTAGCGTTGCTATAAACGCCAACGCTTACCGGCGTATTTCTTGTTTGGTCATTCATGTTTGTTTAAGAGTAATAATTCGTTGTTTCCAGCGTTGTATCCTCGGACTGGTGATTTTGAACCAGTGTAATCTAAGGTAGATGCGGATTACCTCCCACTAGAAGAAAGAGATATTCCTCCGAAGACGTCGAATACTCTGTTTCGGCGATGAAGTTTGTTTATGTTCTTCCCCAACAGCACTATAAAGATATTCTGTTCTGTTTATGAGAGCCAGAGTTTCTTCTAGATTTAGCCGTGAAAAACGGTTTTCGTCGAGAGAATCCCACGAATTATTTTAAATAAAGCCATGTTTTCGTTTTGTTAAGAAAGGATGATACGTACTTTGTCCTACGTTCCTTAAATTAGGAGAGGTGAATTAATAATTCATCATATCTTTCATCTGATATTTGCATATAAATTCTAACCAATCGGTTTAATTCCTGTGAGGGGAAGTCCCTGTGATATTTAAATCATAATCACGCATTACGTTAGTTATTGAGAAGCCCGCAGAGGGTAGCAACATAATTGAGAGAAATGGCAATCCCTAAAGTCAAGATAATTATGTCCATCCGTATTTACATCATGCACGGCTGGCTGCAATGCTAACGCAGATTGAAATTTCCAAGTACCTTACCCAGTATTCCGATTATTTCAATTAGAGGGTTTAATTCTAAGTTATATCTACAGGAGGAAGCCACAGTTAAGCCTTTTCGGTTATTTCTATTGTAAGGTGGGATAATGGCTGACAATTAAATATATATAGAAAAGTGCTCATATTTATAGAAATATGCATGATATTACTGTCATTGTTGCTGTCACTTGATCCTGAGCACGATTGAAATTGAAATAGTAATTTCTCTGTCACACATCATAGACGAACTCTTGTACCTTGTCGAAAGAATTATCACCAACCATTATTAAATTCTAGTGAAAAGAAAGCAAGCGAACATATAAAATTGAGCAAATAATGGAAAAAAGTATATACGCAACAGGGCAAAAGAATGATAAAAACAGGCAGAGTTACTGTGTTTCCACATGTCAGATACTAAGTATAGATATAATATTCTTTCGATCTTGTTTTATTTAATTGTGATACTTATTCAATCCTTTTAAAGTTTATAATCTCTTGATCTTTACTCGGTGCCGCTATAGCAGCTTTCAGTATGGGTATCTTCTATTTCCATGATAGCAACTTCTTTCGCAACCTCGAGCTTTACGTCAAGAAACTGGATCCTCTCTTGAAGAGTGTCTAATTCAGTGTTAAATCTATTCGAGGAAGCGAGCTGAAAAGCCTCCTCGGCCGTTTCTTTGGCCAGTTGGTATAATCTCTGACGATAGAATTGATCAGATCGAGTTTTTAAGAGCTGTACCTGTGTTCCTGTGGGTACACTCTCACCAAGTCTATACTGAACAAAATCAAGGTGTTCTTTGGCTTTCGTGATATCACTGGGTGCAACTTCTTTTTCTTGGGTGCGCGCGGCAGTTGAACTGCAGTCTAACAGCAGTGCTGCTAACTTGAGATGACAATAGGTTCGTTTTTTTATCTGAACTCTCGGTCGTTTATCCCTTCGGCAGAAAGAGACAGCTTGCTCATAATAATATTTTGCTTTATCCCGGGCGGTCTCTCGCGCCTGTGCATTTCTCAGGTCATCAGGGATAATGCTCATATACTTCAACCAAACGGATCCATAGTTGTAATACAGCTCGGCCCAGTCTTCTGGGGAATCGTGATTTTGCAGAAGAAACTCGCTGCGTTGAAGAAATTCAAATAGAGGGGAAAACTTCACCGGCTTTCTATTTCTGTAGTCAGCTACAAGTAAAAAATAGGCTCTTGCCGTTAAAATACTAGGATTCATGACATCACAATTTTTTGTTTTTTCTGATTTTATAACCGAGATAAACATACGTTTGCTGTTTTTGAATTCTTTTTGGTACGAAGAGGCCACTCCTCGCTCTATTTTCAAGGCCAACTCCATGTCCGGATTTTCGCCATCAGCAAAACGTTGAATACAGGCAGTAACAAGGTGCTCATGTTCAGCAAACTTTCCTTCGTCCTGCAGAAACTCAAGTTTTTTCAGGATTCTCTCGCACTCTTGTCCGTTTAGATATCCTTGTTTTTCGATCAAAGGCATCGGTGGGTCAACACTGGCAATGAAAGTATCACGCCACTCAGTCTGTGAACGTTGTTGCGTATCCCCAAAAGTTTGAAGCTGGCAAGCTACCAACTCCGCTGGTCGCTTGTGTTGGTCTAGAAGGCTGCCCTTTGTCTTTGGAGCAGAGTCTGATTGTACTTCACCCCCGTTGACACGTTTTGTTTCTCGTTTAAGGAAAGTGTGCTCCCAGTTAGGCTGCTGCTGTTTGGTGAGTGATTGTTGGACTATGACCAGACTCCTGTTTTCGATCCTTAAGTTCAAATTTCTTGGTTCTGTGGCCTTGTCAGAAAACGAGATTGAATTCTCAGAATACAGTGTGTTTCCATCGTTACCAGCCTCACATCTTCTTCGTTCCAGTTCCATCGGTAGCATTTCAACGGT